AGAGCAGGGCCTGGGGGAGACCTCCAGGGGAGCCTGGACCAAAGGGCACAGCAGCTCTGGGCAGTCTGCTGCTGTCAGGACCGGGAGCCTGGCCGACCCTCAGGGCGGGTCCTGTGAGCGTGACCACAGTTCTCCTGGTGTCACCAGCCCCTCCTCCTCAGGACAAACTGCCATGCCCGTGGAGCTGGCAGTAGCGGCAAGCTAGGGGCTGGGGGGGGCCAGGCTGGAGCCACCTGGCCATGGGCCTGCGCAGCAGGGCTTCCGGGACAGTAAAGCTTGGGGCCGAGTGGGCTGCCTGGGGGGAACGTACCATCAGGCAGGTCCAGCGTTGCCAGGGGGTCCTCCCTGCTCTCATCGTCAGCCCCAGCCCACCCCGTGGGCCACCTCATACTGTTCCTACTTCTCTGGGTGCCCAGGCAGCAGTGATTCAGAATCATTTCTATCTCTGGATGGTTCCCAGCAGCTCGGCTCACTCTCTGGGGTCTGCACCGCAGTTCTGGAGTTGGCTGGGGGTGATGCTTCCCTGGGCTTTGGGACCAGCAGCTGTGCTCACTGGGGTCCTGACCTGCTGTTTCCTCTGCAGACCCTCTGTGCACGTGTGCGCATGTGTGTGTACAGGCCAGTGCATATTGAGGATGCATGTGCCTGCATGTGTGTGCAATGCATGCGTGTGCGTGTGTGAGTGCACACACCTGTGTTAGAGCTGAAGGATTGGGAGGGGCTGGCTGTCCATGGACTGCCTCACAGGATGTAAGGAGTGTGATTGGCTCTCTGGGCTGCCAATCATCTCTGCCTCTGGGGAGATACTCCAGGGCTGGAAGCAGAAGCTGGTTTCTGGCAAAATCTTCTGCGTCCTCCTGCAGTCCGCTGGCCTGGCCACAGGGTGGGGAGAAGGGGGCTGCTTGGATGCTTGCAGAAGGTGCTCCCAGGACTGAAGGCTGAGCCCCCCCCCGGGCTGCCTGTCGGGGACTCTGGGCTCGGGTGGAGCCCCTCAGGTCCTGGGTGAACTGGGGAGGACTCTGGATGAACTGGGGAGGACTGGCCGTTTCCGGGGTTCGGCTCGTCCACTGCCACTGACTTCACAAGAGCTGGATGTGGTCCCACCCAAGGTGGGGCCTGGATTTTGTCAAGTCCTTAAGGCAATGTCAGAACAGAGAATGGTGTTTCCTCCACCCAGGGAGGAACAGACAGGAATTGGGACCCCAACCTATGGCATTCTAATCAGTCCCCTGGGGTACTGAGGGTCTCCCAGGTGGTGCAGTGGTATAAAGAATGTGCTGGCCTATGCAGGAGACCCAAGAGACACGGGTTCAATCCCTGGGTTGGGAAGATCCCTGGGGAAGGAAATGGCAACCCACTCCAGTATTCTTGCCTGGAAAATTCCTTGGACAGAGGAGCCTGGTGGACTAGAGTCCATGGGGTCACAGAGAGTCGGACATGACAGCATCCACAAACCACCTTGGTGTGTGTTGTGGTCTGTGCATCCACGCGTCTTTATGCTGTTTTATGCATTTTCACTTTCACCTTATTTTTTAGGAAGCTAGTGAATTCCGAAGGATTTAGGAATGGTGATTTATGAGGAGCGTAACTCCTCCTAATCATATTCCATGTTAACAAATGAAATATTAAGATAATTAACTGAATTCTTGATGCTGCATTTAGCTAACACATTACTTTCAAAGATCTCAGCACTCAGTGTTGGTGCTTAAATATAGGTTTTTAAAATGTATTTGGTAAAGTGTGAATGTATGTTAAAGAGCCAGGCCCTGTGATCCTACTTCGTGTGGTGATGATGAAGCCTCAGTGCTATTTCTATGGGACATGCTGCCTGCTCTTCACCAACTGACAAAACAAGCAGTTCAGAATTTTGGAAGGAAAGATGAAGTTCATGTTCCAACCTCAAGTAAGGAATTAGATTTGCCATAAAAAGCACGTAGGCATATTAATTGAAGGGTGCAATGTGTCCCCCTGATCTTTCTTGGGGAGCTTACTTACATACTTGATACAAGACTCCAGGCTTGGAAGCCTCAAATTTAAGGATGTGAGAAACACATCCCCAGAAACAGCTTCTCCTCATAACAAAATTCACTAGCAAATCGTGGATATATAATATACATTTTTTAATATACATTTTATGTAATACCATATAATTAATTATTGGGCATGCTGCAGTCCATGGGGTTGCAAAGAGTCAGACACAACTGAGCAGCTGAACTGAATATAATTATTTATAGTTGTAATTATATAAATTTATATTTTAAATTATCCATTTATAAGTATATATAAAATAGCTATGTATGTCTATCTATAAATTATATAAAAAGTGCAGTGTGGTTTCTGCCCTGTGTCTGTTTTCCTTGGTTCTCCCCCACTGAGGACAGCGTTCCCAATGCTAAAATGGTACGTGACACATGGAGGTTACTCAAAAAGGTCACAGTGGCTCCAACACTTATCGTGAGTTGTCATCACCTGGTTTGTGTTATAGTCTGTTGTAGCCACACTTCTCTGTATGCTGTTCCATGCATTTTCACTCTCACTTTATTTTTCCTAGTAAATTATTCCAGAAAATCTAGAAATGTTGACTTACAAGGAATATTAGTCTTCCTTTCACTTGTAGAACATTGAATGGATGTCTCCATCCTGAAACAGTTGTCTGTCTGTCTGTCTGTCTACACTCAGCGGTCTCTGAATGAGTCACCAGCTCCATACAAACACATCGCACCAAAAACACCTATAATTATCCACACTGACATCAAGTTCATTAGCTCTCTGCCTGTTGGTCCAAACCTTCATAGAGATCTGGTGATACTCAGCCAACCACATGAGCTGTATTTGGATCTGTATTTGGAATCCAGTTGCTCCTTATTTGTGACCGATTTATGACATCAAAAACACAAAGGAATGGGGGGTTCCCTGGTGGTCCAGTGGTTAAGACTGCACGTCCACTGCAGGGAGTGTGGGTTCACACCCCAGATGGGGAACTAGGATCCCACGTGCTGAGTGGTGTGGTCAAAAAAGTAGAAAGAGAGTATGAAGGGGTGGAGGTGCCAGTTGTGCCAACAGTTATCCTGATGGAGCAGCAAAGCCTGTGATCCAGGGGATGAGCCTGTTTCCATTTCAGACGAGGAAATCGGGGCCCTGGTTTGGGGAGACACAGAGGGGACCTGCCTGGAACCTATCCCAAGGACACGGAGCCCCAGGCTGGGGCCTCTAGCCTGGCAGCGGCCTTGCCTCCTACAGGCTGGCACCTTGTTCCCCACCACTTGGAAAAAAATTACAGAACACTTGAATTCTCAACATCAGATCAAAGACTCTTCTATTTTCCTATCATGCTATCTATCTTGATAATTTTTTGATCTAACTTACACGGCCCGAATCCCCAAAATGTGTTTTGCCAGCTGGCACAGCTTTATTGAGCTATACATCACGATGGTGACATTGCTGCTAACTAACCAGCCGCAGTTACAGATGGCAGCAATGCGTTCTCGGAGACCCGGGCCAGGCCGATTATAGCAAATTCAGTTTTTTAATGGTCTTTCCTTATTTGGTTTTGAAAATGACAGAATATCAACCAATGTGTTCTATATTTCCAGAGACTAATGATACCGGAAGGTTTTGTTTTCTCATTAAAGATGAATGGCGTTGACATTTAAATAGATCACTTCCAATAGGTCCTTGGGACTTCACTCAGGTAATTATTAAAAATAGTTTCCAGCACATTGCAGCCCAGCCATATGCACCTAGACATGTGATTCACAGGGAGAGAACCATGCCTGTTCATCATTTCTGCCTTGCTGGGGCTGCCTTGGGGGGCCGTCCCAGAATCTCCTGGGAAGAGCGAGGCTGGGCCAGTAAAGACTGTCATTCCGTGAAGGCTCCCTGAGAGCCTGGAGTGACCCTGTCGATGTGCCTGGTCCTGCCCTGGGGAGTAGGCTGGCCTGACTCCTCATCTCATACTGTTTCCCGGACCATCTTTCTCATGGTACAGCTCTAGCTCCAGAGGACCCACCCGAGTTCCAGCCTGGTTCCAGCCCCCGACCCCTGAACATTTGTTTCCCTGGGTGTTTGAGCCTAACCTGTGTTAACAGCAAATCTCACAGGTTGGAGTAACACACTGAATGATGGTACTAGTACTGTTCTCCTTGGTGATACGTACTGAGCAGTGTATGGTAACCAAGCTTCAAAAACAAAAGCCTATTCGCTTGCTGCCCTCAAGGACTCTGGAAGTCTCCGTAGATTAAAGAGTTAATTCCTGGGCTCCTCTCCTCTCAGAGCTTGATTTTCATCGCATAGGAGCTATGTTGACTCTACTGTATCTCTTTGCCCAGCTGGTTACAGCTGTGACACTACATATAATTAAACATGCACAAAAAGAAGCAGACATCTGGTAAACCCACCGGTCTCCTCATTGACTCTAGTTGACTTGTCACACAAGGCTCTCCACGTCACCTCAACCCCGAACTTCAGTGTCCCCTGCTCCCCAGTTGTGGAGGCTCCTTCCTCCGAGTCCAGCAACTCCAGGAGCCTCCCCCAGCCAGGGGCATGTCTCCCCGAAGATCAGCCGAGACCAGGAAAAGCTCGACTTCGCCCCTTCCTCCCAGTGGCTGTGTCTCTCTCGGATGCTGCAGCTCTTCTCTGTTTCAATGCAGGCAGCTCTGTTTCGTGCCCTCTGTGGCGTAATGCTTCCCCTCTCACTTCTAAAGGCTCTGAGAAATAGAGAGATAGAGGTCCCTGTCCGTATTGCTGCTCTGTCCATGTCTCCCTTGGAACCTGGCGTCCAGACTTCACTCTGGCAGCACCAATTCTTGAATCCTAATATCACTAGTGCCATGCTTTGGCTTCTCACTCTCGTGCTCCACAGTGCTCCCTGGGCTCACCTGAGTGAGTGACCCCCTCACAGCCCCTCTGTGTGGTCACCTGAGGGCCCCTCTCCCTCACAGCCCCTCCCCGGGCTCACCTGAGGGAGTGACCCCCTCACAGCCCCTCCATGTGGTCACCTGAGGGCCCCTCTCCCTCACAGCCCCTCCCCGGGCTCACCTGAGTGAGTGACCCCCTCACAGCCCCTCCGTGTGGTCACCTGAGGGCCCCTCTCCCTCACAGCCCCTCCCTGGGCTCACCTGAGTGAGTGACCCCCTCACAGCCCCTCCGTGTGGTCACCTGAGGGCCTCTCTCCCTCACAGCCCCTCCCTGGGCTCACCTGAGTGAGTGGCCCCCTCACAGCCCCTCCGTGTGGTCACCTGAGGGCCCCTCTCCCTCACAGCCCCTCCGTGTGGTCACCTGAGGGCCTGTCTCCATCACTCGCTGGCACAGGTGGTGCTGAGTGTCCTGACTGGTATTCCATGGGGCTTCTAGACCTCTCTGGTCAATTCCCTGGTGGCCCCCAGCCAAGCCTGCGTCAGTGTTGAAAGGACACCGCCGTTCATGCTCACTTAGTGGTGAGCTCGGCCGGCAGGCTGGCGGCCCTGGTTCCTCCTCCGGCTCTGGCCCAGCACCCAGGGTGCAGAGGACCCTGTGACATCATGTGGGCCCCAGAGCTGGGCTTGTCTCAGCCCGAGTCCCTCCCTCGGGCTCCCTCCACCCTCGGGTCTGCGGCCAGGTGGGCTTGGCCTGTGTCTCTGGGCCCCAGGCCCCCCATGCCTCTCAGTGCTCCTCTCCCAGAGCGCACGCAACCTTTCCACTCCTCTCTGCAGATGTCAACTGAACTGAGCACACGCTAGACCAAATCCACCGCCTCCCCAAAGGTCACTTCTGATTCACTCTCGATGTGAAGTCAGGTGCACGCTCCCCATTCCAAAGACCTGTGAGGTGTCCAGGCACTGAGATGTGACCACGTCACCAGGAGCTGGCAGCTCACATGGGGGGCCGGGGGAGCGGGAGTGGGGAGGAGAAGCAGGTGGAGGAGGACATGGTCAATGAAGACAGCGCCCTGCTGACCACTCCGCCCTGGCCCGGAGCCCTGGCTGCCCTCGGAGCTGATTGTATGCGCACTTGGACTGAGGTCTCTGCCCCGTACCCTCATCTTCCTGGCTTCAAGGAGAAGTTAAACAGTGCATGGTGGGATGTGCAAAGTTAGAGAAGTGTCTGTGGCCATCCCGGCCCTACAGGGGGAAGGATGAAGAACTAGCTCCAGGTCTGAAGGACGGCCAGGTAGGACAACACACTGTCCCTGCTGGCTTCGTCCCAGACAGGCCAGGCCTGTCTCAGTGCAAGGACTTTTGTTCAGAAATGCAAACTACACAGAATCCATTTCCTAAAATCTTCCAGTTTGTGTTAAAAAAAAAGCATAATTAAGGGTTTAATTAGTTCATGTGGGGCTACAGGTGAGTGTCATTAGCACAATGCCAGACTGCACCTGGAACTTGTAAAAGATTTTTTTTTTCTCCTGCACTGAGTCTGATCAACTGTAGCCATTAAACTTTCACCAATTTAAAGTTGAACTTCAACTAATAAAGCTGGCTACATTTGTTTTTAATATGAGGAATTAGAGCCTGACGGCTGCAGATCAGGCTCAGGCCCTGATAATTAGTTATGGGAGCCACAGCCTCGCTGGCAGATCCTGGGGAAAATTACACAGAAAAATTGCAAAGCAGGTGGAATGTGGTTGGAAGGAACAAGGCTGCTTAGGATACATGCTTGACTCAACTGTAGCTATTTCTAAAAGGTAAAGAATTCAATCATCACTTTCAGGACAGAGAAACTGCAATAGAGGTTTCTCTTGCAGAAGAATAAGACATTTTCTGATGTGAGGTCCGCTTGTTGTATGTCTCAGCATCTGTAACCTGCATCCCTAGCCCACATCCACAGCCTACAGGCCTAGACTCTGTCTCCAGCCCACATTCTGAGCCCAAACCTGCATCTGTAACCTATACCCCTAGCCCACATCCCGAGCTCGTATCCATAGTGTACATCCCTAATCTGCCTTTCTAGCCCACAGGAGAAGCTGACCTTGTGAACACCATGCTCTAGCAGCACCCATTGCAGACTCTCAGAAAGAGAGGCCAGGCCCATCCTGAGATGCCTCCAATCCCAGCTCCCAAAGACAGGCCTGGACCCCTTTCCACCATCACTCCAGACTGCCAGTGTGTCCAGTGAGGGGGGAGATGTATCATAAATCAATATATCTCTCGCACTCACAGGCACGTACCCTCATGCATGAATAAAGGAAACCAGGGAATCAATAAATTTTAACCTGAAAATATAAAATATGGCTAAATGTGCAAGAAGGGATTTATAGTTAAAAATGCAAGTTTTAACGATTTTACATTTTGTTTTCCATTTCTGCTTTCAGTCTCTATAAGCAACAGGGGAACTGTCTGTGCAGACCCAGGCAGCTCACGGGTCGGGGTGTATTTTCACTCCCCCTGCTTTCCAGCCAGCCTCCAGGCCCTGCTGCAGGTAGCCAGGGCAGTCCTGCGGACCAGGGGTCTTCACGGCTCTCTGTCCTGCCCCCCAACCACGGGGGCCCCTTCGTATCCCCAGCAGTGCGCTCAGGGCCAGGCACGTGTTCAGCCCTCATTGAGCACTGCCTGCATGACTGCCCTGAGCTAAAGAGTAAACTAGTCCATGCAGGTGCACTTTGCAGAGTCAGAGCTCTCTCCTTGTGCCTCAAGCTTATCCTTCAAGCATCATTCTTTCCTTTTTTCATATTACAACTCTAAAAGGAAATCTTCCAGGCTCTCCTGTCTTCTTGGGAGAGTCTTCCAGTTGGCCCGGTGGCCCTGCCTGGAGGCCAGCATGAGGCTGATCCCAGCAGGGGCAAAACTCAGCCCACCTTTCGCCTCCTGGAGGTCCGGCCCCTCCCTCTGCTTCCCCTCCCTCACTGCTCACCTGGCCACAAACCAGAAGCCTGGGCGTCTTCTCCTGGGGGCCTCTCTGCCGCCCCACTCCCTCCCCTCCGTCCCTCTGGGTCACCAAGGGTGACTCAACTCCTTTCCTCAAGACCAGGGCGCCATCATGTGACCCTCTAAGGGGCGTGTCCAGGACAGAGGAACTAGAAAGGGTCCAAGACCGGTGACCCTTTGGCTGACAAGGTGATGCTGGGCTATGCAAGAGTATTTCTGACATAAGAACCAGGTTGCAGAGACAGCAGAAGGCTGGGGCAGGGCTTACAGTTGGGCCCAGTGAGGGGAGCAGCCAGCTGCGTAACCCGAGGGCCCACTGCGAAATGATAATGTGAGGTCCCCTGTTCAAAAGCTATTAGGACTTTCAGGACGCTGGTGACAGAGCCTGAGGCCAGTGGCGGGCTCTTGGCGCACGAAGCTCGTTCCCTGTGTGCGTCACACGCCAGGAAGCCGGCCATACCCGGAAGCAGTAGCTCGTTTCGTCTGAGGCTGGGCTTTGGACTGAGTGAGGAAGGCTGCTGAGCGATGATCCAGCCCAGGGCCTGCCCTGGGCCCTTCCTCACCCTGCAAACGGGAACGTCGGCCATGAGGCGTGGTTGTGTCTCAGAAGAGACGGAGCTCCTCAGACGCCCACGTGCAGACTCCGCACCAGGAGTCGGAAATCCTGCTCCCGCCGCCAGCATCTCTCGTGTGGACGCGCAGCTGACTTGGAGGGACTCCTCTGAGACCCTCCTCTGGGTCTGGGGGCACGTGGCCCCAGCCTCCAGAGCCACTATGCCCCTGACCACGGAGTTCCGCAAAGCTCTGCTTTTAAGGGCTGAATTTTCAGGGTGAAGCAACGTGCACGTTTACGCATAACTCACACGTGGTTTATGTCCACAGCATTCTCTGAAAGCAATTCTACAGGAACTGTCATTTTTCCATTTTGAAATTTACTGTGTTTTTAAGCTGATTTTTGATTAAAAATATCTTGTTAGCATTTCACTCTGGTGAAGTCATAGATCAAGAGAGCTGCAACATATTTTTAAGGTCCTAGAGAAAACACTGTTGGTAACTTCAATAGCTCAGATCATAAAAGACGAGAGCTTTGCTTGTGTCTTACGTAACAGCATAAAATATGGGGCCTCTTGCCTGCTACTTTTATAAATAAGATATGATTCCAAAGGGATGGAGGGGTCTTGGCCCTTTAGGAGGGTGGTGGTTGGTGGTTCACGGCTTGCTCTGATGACACTGTGATCAAACAGCCGTGGGACAGAGGTGAACATCTGGGTCTTCCCCTTAGACTAAATGTTTCCAGTTTTGTAAATGTTTGCTGTTTTACTTTGTAATTTGGGGTTAAGGCTTATAAAGAGAGGACGCAGGTGCAGGTAGATGGCAGGAGTGCCCGAGTTCACCCCAGTGATGATACTAGGGAGCTGGGTCCCGCCGACCACTGCACCGGACTCCACAGCCGGGTGGTGGGCAGCGTGATCCTGCTGTATCCAGACCCGGTCCCCATGTGGGCTCAGGCAGGGGGTGTCCTCCCGCTTCCTCACCCAGGCCTGAGACGTCCCGAGAAGGAAGCCGCCTAGACTCAGCACAGGTTGGCTGGTGACTGTGTCCACCAGCAAAGAAACGTGCATTTTGAGATTAACCAAAAAAGGGGCTGGGCTGTGGGGCCTTGCTGTTGTGAGCTTTTTATAAATACTTAGTAAAACCCTAATTTAGAGAGTGAAGTAATTGCAGTGTCCTTCATTTGAATCTGCAGTTAAGTACAAATGTAAGTGCCAGGCCTGGGGAGCAAGTTCACCGGGTCTGTTTCAGCTCTCACAGGGCCCACGGGGGCTGAGTGAAGGGCAGCTGGGCCAGGGTACCCCCGCCAGGAGGGCCCATGCCCTCCCCGGCAAGCTGGTCTTCCCTGTGCCCCACGCCAAGGAAGAGGAAGCTTCCTTGCCGAGGAAGCTGCTGTAAGAAGTATCTGGAGGCAGGTGAAGGGCTGGGCTGTACCCTGGCCTGGTGGGGGCTGGAGGGAAGCAGGAGGTGTTGGGGGTCAAAGCCCAGGCCTGGGGTGGGGGGACTTGGGAGCTCAGGCTGCAAAGGCATCCATCCCAGCAGATCCCAGCTAGAGGCAGGAGAGTCCCCCACCTTGCTGGGAAAGGGCTTCATGTAGGAATGTCCATTCCAAACACTTAAGGACAAGTGGGTCCAGAAACTGCTCACAGGAGCCGGTGAGTCAGGGGGTCTGGGAGGTGCGCTGTGGCCCCAGTGGTGGTCCAGCGTGGAGTCACTGGGGGGGACACCAGGCCCTGAGTCCAGCGGGCGTTCCCAGTGTCTTGCTCGGTCATGGACGGGTTAATGTCACAGAGGAGGCTGAGTACTTCGATGGGTAATAAATAGGTAGAAGAATGAATGAATGAAAGAGTAGGAGGCTGATCGACTCCGTGGGTAAATAGAGGCATCAGGGCACATAAAAGAGAGAGGGAGAGAAGGGAGAAGGACCCGAAGGAGGACAGGAGGGAAGGAGGGGGCTGCAGGGAGGAAGGGGATCAGGCCGTGCCCAGGGCACGCGGTGGGGCGTCTGCATCTCGGCTCCGCCCCCAACCTGTGCCTCTCCCTTCAGCTTGGAGGGCAGCAGCCAGAACCCCCTGCAGGAGCAGCCAGGGTCCTCATGTCCCGCAGACGACTCCCTGCGGAGACCGTGTGTCCAAGCACAGACAGCGAGCACAGCTGCCGCCCGTGACTGGTGCTAGCAGCCGGGCTGGGCGCTGTGGGTCTAGGGGACGGGTCCCTGGGTAAGACAGGCAGGGCAGGTGGTTCAGGCTGTGTGTCAACACACGCCCCCCGCCCTGACATCCGGGCGGGCCCCCACGTTCCTGTGAAGCAAGACCCAAATACATTCCTGGGGGTGAATTCAGAGGTAGCGCTGCTCATTAGCAGGCGGGGAGGCTCTGCCCACAGGCTTCACTGGAGAGGCGGGGTTGCCTGGGGAGCGGGCCCCCAGCCCCGCAGAGGGGCTCCGACCCGCATGCCTCTGAAGTCCCCCAACCTGGCATCCCTGAAAGACAAGGGACCACGGAGGGCTGTGAGCAGAATCGGGACTGCTTGTCCTCCTGGCAAGCAGGCTGGGAGGCACAGGGATGGTCTGCTCACAGACCCGAGATGGGAAACTCAGGTCTGAAAATGGGTTCTTCACCATGAAGCTCTCAACGCGCCCAGAGCCCACTGCAGGCTCACGGGCCCTGGAGGCTGTGGGTCTCAGCGGGCGACGGGCAGGCCGAGGGCGGCTGCAGCCAGCAGGGCGTGAGGCCCGGGAGGCCTCCTGTGGGTGCCCAGCGTCATCAGGTCCAGGAGGGGCTGGGCTGCTCAGCTGCTGGTTCTGATCATTTTCTTCTTTCTTCTTTTCCACACGGGGAGGGCTGGGACAGCGCTAGAGCCAGGATGGGAGGGACTGGGGTAGAGGTGGGTGATGGGGTGCTCCGGGTTTTCTCTGTTTCCCCGAATCCACCAGTTCTTCCAATCCCTGGTCATTCTTCCTTTGAGAAGTTTCCAAATTTATATCACTTATAGTATAAGTGTTATAATACTTACAATGGTTTTTTGATGGAGATAGCTGTAATGCCACAACTTAAAAATGATGGCAATTTTAGTGTTCTGCAAAATTGCTCTTCACAATGGAAATAAATCAAGTAGTTAGAAGGGAGCCTCAGATGACAGGCATTCCCGGGGCCCCTGCGTGATGCAAGGGTGTCGTCTGATGGATCACGTCTGCGTCCCCTACCCCCCAGAGCTGTGTCCTCATCCTCATCAGGTATTCAGAATTAGCATATTCAGCCAGATGTGCAGGTTAAAAATTGAAAGTTGGGTAGGCATTTCAGCCTGAGTTCTTTTTTACTGGGTCTGCCTCAAACATTAATCAGTCTTCCATTATAAATGGCTCAGATGTGGAGCAGAGCTGGATGGGTTTCAAAGACGTCCCTCCCTAACAAGTATGCCCTGATAGTTCCTAAAGCTAAAAGGATGGTACATGGCAGAGGAGGAAAAAATCATTACAGTCATTAAGAACTGTGGCTTTGCTTTAAAGGCTGCTGGGAACCTGGAGACCGTCGGCATTCCCCTCGCACGCCTTGGAAGCCGGCTCCTTCTTTTATTCATAAGCCCCTATTCATCAGCCTCCTGTGATGGATCCGGGCAGGCTCGGGGTGGGGTCTTCGCCTCCACAGGAGCTGCCTCTGAGCCCCTGCTTTGATTTTTTATGTTTAGAAGCAAAGGTTTTAGCACTGTTCCCTCACTAGCAGACACCTTGCCTTCTCAAGGAAAGCAGTTTCTGG